GTGCCCCTCTTTTGGTATTCAATTTTTTTTAAGGATTTCAATGTAACCACAAGTTTCCACTGTGTAGAGCTCTCCAAAGCAACTATTTTGTGGGCTGAATTTTTTCAGGCTTTATCTGTGAAAATTACTGAGTAAAAACAGTTCAGTCAATTTGAAATCCAAGAATGAAAACCTATGTTTTCCTATTAGGGAAAAAAAAAAAAAAAGTTGACTTTTCTGGTTTGCTTTGTTTTTCAAAAAGACCTTTGGCCAAATTGGCAGTGAAGAAAAAGTTGAAACTGGTAGAAAGTACCTATCTTCTACAGCAGAAAAGTCTCAGCATTCTGGTGAAAACGAATTATCATTTGACTCTGTCATAAGCCTTTTTTAAAGTGGCTATAAGTGCACAGCATGTGCTCACTAGGAACACCATCTAGCCTGTAAGTACTCTGTTTAGAGTATCGCACGCTTGTACGTGACTAAGATACATAGTGAAGAACGTAGTGAAGGTGAGTGTGAAGAGCATATATGGAGCTGCTCCTCTCAAAGGAGAGGGAAACAGAAGGAGGTGGAGCCAAGTAACCAGTATGGCATTTATCTTTTCCTGGCTAGGGGTATGGAATGTATAGAATAGAGTATCTTCCTATATATTTTTTTTTTTTTTAAGAAAAAGGGTGTTTCAGAAGGTATGTATAGATATATGTTATATTCAGATATATCATAAGATCCCCAGAAAAGCCCAGCAGAACATTCTATTGACATGACCTAGCTGGTGCGGCCACAGCAAACATTTAAGCCGTGATCAAAATATATACATGCAGTGGCTCTGCATAAGACAGAAGCTGTTCAGTCCACAGCTTAGTCTTACTAAATATCTTTTCAGGATACGAAAGACAAAACCTTAACACCCAATTTTGCTTACAAAAACTTCCATCAATAAACACAAGACAGGAGAGGAGTGCTAAGCTGCACATCACTAACATGGAAATACATACCTGCAACACATACAAATTTAAAATGCAATTCCTTCTCCACAAAAAAAAAAACCAAACACCCCACAAGTTTTCTGTCTCAGTCATCAAACCTGAAAAGGCCATTATTTTTCTAGAATGCTTTTAGTGCATATGCAATGGGAAGACAAACACTGACTACTGTAACTACTTCATGTATGAAAATTAATATCATTCCTCTCAGTCCTCTCATGGGTGCCCAAAATGGAATAAAAGCAAGAGACACATTCATCCTGATTTGTAAGTAGAAGCAGGCGCACACATCACATGTACACTTTTGCACCCACACTATCCGCTGGAACTACATTTCTGTTCTTAATTGCTCTTACAGGAGGAGAGGCTGCACTTGCTGCTAATTGTAGCTATAGAGCTGTACCTAAATGAAGGCTGATCTCTGACAGGCAACCTCCAAAACCAGGGGGTGCACAAGTTTAAGCTTCTGTTCTTACCAAGTGATTAGCTGATGCAGCTAAGAAACCCAGACAAGGGTAAAATGTGGGCATCATAACAATTGTTTCTCACCTTTTCTGGCTGGTCTTGAAGAGGAGTAGAGGCTTTGTAACCCAGCTGTAGCAACATTGCTTCTGCTGCATTTCTTTTAGCTATTTTCTTGTTTGGGCCTGTTCCAGTAGTAATCTCATTGCCTACTTTTACCTTAAAAAAGAAAACATTGATCATAATCATGATAAATGCAAGACTCCTTAATATCACCAGGTAATAATCTTGCTGACCTACCAACAAGTGTCAGATCTTTTGATGAAGATACAATCTTGTAAAAGTAAGAATAGGGCAGAAGGGAACTACAATGCCACTTCACATGGAGCAGCTTGTTTACATTTTCCAGAAGGTCCCCAAACTTGTACCAGAGAGGTACATTTTTCTGTATCTCAGTGCACACACAGCCCCCGCCTCTGCGCCAACCCCATTCTCACTGCTGAACATTTTCCCCTCTCGTGCTGCCCTCTCTTTCGTAGCGCAGGAAGCGCGACAGGATTTGGACTTCCTCGCCCTTGTAGGAGTGTTGCCTGCAGCAGCTCCCTCGCATCATCAGGGCAGTATCCAGAACAACAGAGATGCAAACAATGACCTGGAGGTTTAAATGAGTGGCTTCTAAAGACAGATGAAAACCACATTCATATTCCTCCCTCTTTGTCACACTGCAAGGAACATGGGGGCTGGGGCTGCTTTCTCTTCTGCACTTAACACCTGATAAGCTTTTATGAAAATAGTCTTTCGAAAGAAGACTCCTCGATGGATCTGTGATCTGTACTGCACAAAGGGTTATGGAAAAAGCAAGATGCCTTTCATAAAACTAGTAGAAATTAAAACCCCAGAGTGAAGACAAATTATAGACAAAGAGGAAGGCTCAACTTACTCCTTGGGTTTGGTTAGTCTCACCCCCGTCCCTGGAAAGGTGATGGAACAACTCATTCTGGGTGCCTCTCCAAGCAAGTAGATGAAAAGAAGATCATCAGGAGTACCCAGCACGGATTCACCAAGGGGAAATCATGCCTGACCAATCTGATAGCCTTCTATGATGGCATGACAGGCTGGGTAGACGAGGGGAGAGCGGTGGATGTTGTCTACCTTGACTTCAGCAAGACTTTTGATACTGTCTCCCATAACATCCTCATAGGGAAGCTCAAGAAGTGTGGGTTGGATGAGTGGACAGTGAGGTGGATTGGGAACTGGCTGAATGACTGGGCTCAGATGGTTCTGATTGGCAGGGCAGAGTCCAGTTGGAGGCCGGTAGCTAGTGGATTTCCCTAGGGCTCAGTACTTCACCTGGTCTTGTTCAACTTGTTCATCAATGACCTGGATGAGGGGACAGAGTGTACCCTCAGCAAGTTCGCTGATGACACAAAA